GGCCGCGGAGCCCACCCAGCCGCCAGCGGCAGCCGGGTAATCCCACTCCTCGTCCCGGACTCCCTGTACCCGCAGCCCCTCGCCCGGAGTTCCCGCGGCCAGGAACCCCCGTCCAGAGGGCGCCCCGCGGCCTCCAGGCCGGGGTCCTAAAACCGAAGCCTGTCCACCTCCGTCCGCGACGCCGGAGCCTGCGGGCTCCTGGCCAGCCCCGGGAGCTTCGTTTACACAATAACGGACTCCGGACGGCACGGGCGCCTGGTCGGGAGGGAGTGCTCGGTTTGGCAGGAAAGGCTGCCCTCACTGAGGGCGAGGTGTGAAGTTTCCCAGGGCAAGGGGCATTTGGTCCATGCCGGGCGCCCCACACTGACTTTAAGAGAGATGGCATTTCCTCGCGGTTTCGTGGTTTTTTATCCCCTTACACCTAAGTTGCCCCCCCCTCCCCAATCTTAGAAACCGAAACGTCGGTCTTTGTGGCGGGTTGGGGAAGCTTGAACCCTACCAGACCTGCGGCCCAGAGTGTCAACTGTTTATCTAAATTGGAGCTGCTTCTCCGGAATGATTTGTACGCAACCAACCAGTCGTTGTAGTAGCTACTACCACTTGATGAGTTATAAGCAGGAATTATGCTTAGTCTTTTATATATTCTTTTAAACCATCACGGTCCTTTAAGGTGAGGAAGTTTCTTCATTCCTTATCTATAGTATTAGCTGAGGAGCGAACCCAGAGAAGTTTAAGTAATTCGACTAAGGTGACACAGCCAGGAAGTGGTAGAGCTGTGATTGACCTATCTGCGTGATTGCCAAAGCCCACTAACCGTTATGTTTCTTTCACTGCCAGAGGAATAAAACATGAGGTTAAGACATTTAGTTTTTTTTTTTTTTTAATATAGTGTAGACATAGTTCTAATTTCTTACCAAAACCACCACTCTACCTAGAACTTCTGGGCAGGGTCTGATGTTTTGGAATTTATTTTATTTTTGGTTCTTTTTTTTTTTTTTTTTTTAAACCCATTGACAAAGTTTCTGTTTTCTTGAGTGGTTCTCTAACATGTATCCAAGTACTCTGGGTACTCTGGTTACACATGAATTGTTTGTCACTATGTTAAGATTTTCAAAACTGAGCAGTGTCCAGAGGAAGCAAGAACAGAGTGCTTGTTTCCACAACTTCTCTCTAAGGCACAATTTATTTTCTCAAATCTTTGGTATCAGTAAATGGCATCCATTGCTCCGGTCAGAAACAGTAATCATTAACCTTCCCCACACATCTTATCTGTCAGGTTAACGTCATCTCTCTAACAGATAAGCTGTACCTACAAAATACATCTCCCAAAAAGTCCTCTTCCTCCATCACTTTGGTCTAAGGCCTGTTACGTCTTGTCTGAGTTACTGCATTTGGGACCTTTGTGCGCCATTCTTTTTTATTTTTTGAGAGGTTTTTGCTATAGGATGCGTGCGCTCGCCAGACAGAGAGAGACAGAGAGACAGAAAGCGAGAAATCACCCCCAGGGGGGATGGCCACACCGCAATCCCTTCTCTTCCATTCTCCTCTTGGGATCTTGGGCACACACGCACCCGGCGTGAGTTTAAGCCACTGGGTCCAGGACGCGAACCACGGTCAACTATGTGGGAGTTGAGCAACATAGCCATCTTGTACCCTTCAGTTTATTCTGCACACACCAATCAAAACTACTTTCGTTTTGTTAGAAGGTGGATTCACTTGCTAGGGAGAGGGAGAGAAGAGACCTCCTCATGCACAATGGGATGTGGCCATGCCACAATCATGTTTCCTCTGTTTCTCCTTCCCTTCAGGGTTTTGGGCACCCATGCACATGTGACATGTGACGAGCATATTTTCTTTCTTTTTTTTTTGAGAGGTTTTCGCTATAGGGCACGTGTGCTCACCAGACAGACAGAGAGAAACATAGAGACAGAAAGCAAGAAATCACCCCCCAGGGGAGATGGTCATGCCGCAGTCCCTTTCTCCTCCATTCTCCTCTCAGGATCTTGGGCATGCACGCGCGCCCTGCGTGAGTTTTAAGCCACTGGGTCCGGGATGTGAACTGAGGTCAACTACATGGGAGTCCAGCGACATAGCCATTACGCTAACTGCTGGTTTCCGTCGACGAGCATATTTTCTAAGCTGCCCTGTTCAGGAGTCACTGTGATCAGCCATGTGGGATCTGGCTCCCAATGCACAGTGCTTACCCACTGTGCTATGGAGCTAGCCCTCCCCCCCCCAAGAAAAAAAAAAACACTTTAAAATCTTGATTTTATACATTTGACAAATATTTATTGAATATATACCATGTATTGGGCCTTGTTCTGATCCCTGGAGATAAAATGATGAGTAAAACAGACAAAATCTCCTGTCATCAGGGCCAGCAGGTGGCGTGGTGGTTAAAGGTGTTGGACTCCCACATGACTGACCATGGTTTGAGTCTTGGACGTGGTGGCTTGCTTTCTCATTTTCTCTCTCTCTCTGTCCCTCTCTGGTCAAATTGAAATTAAAAAATGAATAAATAAATAAGTTAAATAAAATGATTAAAAACAAATCTCCTGTCATCATAGAGTTTGTATTCTAGTGAAAGAGTTGGATAATAAATAAGATGAAGTTAGAAATACTATGTCATGTTAAATGTAATTAAGTGTTAAACTAAAGCAGAGAAGGAAGTTAAAATTTTTCATGGGTAGCCAGAGAGGGCTTTCTGAGAAGGTAACTTGAATAATGACCTGAAGGAAATGAAGGTATAGGCAGTGTAAGCATCTAGAGGCAGAACAGTTCACATCACACTTATAACCATCCTATAGCTCTTGTACTAAGACTAAAATCCAGATTTCCTAACTATAGCTTCGGCTTCTGCCTATCTTCTCCTTTTCTGTCACTTTGCTGTAGCCAAACTGGCCTTGTTTCTGTTACTCCATACATCCCAAGCTCATTATTGAATTGGTTCTTTCCTTTGCCTGATAAATTCATTTACCTATTCTTTGCAAGGTTGCTATCTCATCATTCAGGCCTCAGGTTAAATGATATATCACTATTGAAAAACTTTCTCTAACCTGTCAGAAGTAACTCTTCCTTTTCCCTAGTCTTTTTTGGGTATCATGATTTTTTTTTTTAATATACAAAGAATGTATGCATGTACCTGTGAGGGAAAGACAATTGAGCACCTTCCACAGGATCCAGTCACACCACAATCCCTCTAGCCTGTAAGATCTTGGGCACTGGAGCATGTACCTGGTATGTTTCAGGGTGACCACGCTAGGGATTCAGGCTGCGGATTTGAACTGTGGTTGTCACGTGGGAGCCTACTACTTGAGCAGTTGAGCACTTTCTCAAGTACCACCAGTGGCACATGTACCCATTGTGCCCTAGAATCAACCTGGTATCATGTTTTAATGACTTTATAATACTTACTGCTACCCAATAGTACTTGGAAAACTATTTTCAGCCTTTTGAGCCACTCTTTGTCTGCTCAGGCCCATTCCTACCTCTCGGGAGTGTACTTTTGCTTTTACTTTAAAAAACTACCTTTTCCGGGAACCAGAAGTTAGCATAATGGCTATGTCGCTGGACTCCCACGTAGTCGACCGCGGTTCATGTCCCGGACCCGGTGGCTTAAAACTCACACCGGGCGTGTGTGCGTGCATGCCCAAGATCCCGAGAGGAGAATGGAGGAGAAGGGATTGCGGTGTGACCATCCCCTCTGGGGGGTGATTTCTCACTTTCTGTCTCTATGTCTCTCTCTGTCTGTCTGGCAAGCGCACGCATCCTATAAGGAAAACCTCTCAAAAAAAAAAAACCTTTTCCTTTCACAAAAAAAAAATATATATATATAAAAGACATATTTTTGGTTTGTGTCCATCACTAAAAATGTATAGGTTCTGAAAGCAGGGACTTCATTCACTTCTTTGTTCAATACCCAGTAAGATTGAGAGGTCATCAGGGAGTTGGAGGTGTGGACTTTTATCTCTAAGAAAATAATTATTTTTAAAAGGTGTGTGTGTGTGTGTGTGTGTGTTTGAGAGTAATAGCCTGTGGTAGTCATTTCTCACCTTGTCAGACCATAGCTTTGCACGTAAGGAGACAGTTTTGGATGTGGGGATGTCTTGAACCTACTGACTACTGTATTGTCTTTTACTTTCATAGAGGCATTCTCCTGGTCTGCGTTCTGACTCTTCTTTGGAACAGAGCTTAAGGATCACAGTTGGCAATGACCACTTTTGTGTCAGCACACCAGAACGGCAACGGCTTAGTGATCGGCTGGGATCACCAGTGGATAACCTAGAGGACCTGGACAGGTAGGCTTCAGCCAAAGCAGAGCACTTTATACTAATAACTTGAAGGCAGAAATGTTGCGAACTTTTTTTCTTTATCTTTTTTTGCTGTATTCGTGGTAGAGCTCCTGCATCGGCTTGTGACAGTGAATGAGAGAGAAGTACCTGGTCCTGCTAAGAATCTCTTCAGTCCTTAAGCCTGTCAGATCTTAGATACTTGTGTTCTTTTTTTTAAAGTATTATTTATTTATTTAATATGATTATTATTACTATTATTATATTTTAATTTGCTATAGGGCATGTATGATCATCAGAGAGAGAAAATGAGAAAGCAAGCTGCCAGGTCTGGGACTCGAATTGAGTTCAGCCATGTGAGAATTCACTTTCTCAAGTACCACTCACCTGCTGGCCCCAAGGGCATGTGCTTTCTTGCTTGGTGTGTTTTGGGCTGGCTGGGACAGGGACTTGATTCACATGGTCCCATATGTTGGTCACTATCTGGGATTCAGCTTCTCTTGAGTGGTGCATTGTTGCACCACAGAGCTGGCCCTGTTTTGGTTTTCTAAATGGTATTTGAAAGGATGGCACCAACACTGAAGTTCTCTGTGTTCATGTGTATAGTACAAAGTGTAACACTGGTAAAGACCTGAGTGAAGAGAGAAGATTGAGCTATACTCAGTTCTATCAGAAGAAATGACTTTAAAAATGTCATCCTGGGGACCAGCAGGTGGCATAATGGTTACGTTGCTGGACTCCCATTTAGTCAACTGTGGTTCAACTCTCAGACCCTGTGACTTGAAACTTACGCTGGACATGTATGTGTGCATGGCCAAGATCCCAAGAGGGTAATGGAGGAGAATGGATTTTGGTGTGGTCACCCCCCGCAGGGGGTAATTTCTCACTTTCTGTCTCTCTCTGTCTCTCTGGTGAGCACATGTGGCCTATAGCAAAAATCTCTCTTGAAAAAAAAAGTCATCCTAGGGCCAGCAGGTGGTATAGTGGTTAAGGCATTCCATTCCCACATGGCTGACTATGGTTTGAGTCCCAGACCTGGCAGTTTGAAACTCAAATTGAACATGTGCATGTGTGCCTGCCCAAAATCCTGAGAGGAAAACAGAGGAGGAAGGATTGTGGCATGACCATCCCCCTAGAGAGTGATTTCTCTGTCTCTCTGTTAAGCACACATGCCCTATGACAAAAAAAAAAAAAATCTAAGAATAATGGGACCAGCAGTTAGTGTAATGGCTATGTTGCTGGATGCCCATGTAGCCGACCGCGGTTCGAGTCCTGGACTGGGCGGCTTAAACTCACACCGGGCATGTGTGCGTGCGTGCCCAAGATCCCGAGAAGAGAATGAAGGAGAAGGGATTGCGGCTTGGCCATCCCCCCTTGGGGGTGATTTCTCGCTTTCTGTCTCTCTGTCTTTCTCTGTCTTTCTGGTGAGTGTACGCACTTTATAGCAAAAACCTCTCCAAAAAAAAAATCTGAAGAAATGTCACCCTTGGGCCAGCAGGTGGTGTGGTGGTTAAGGCACTGGATTCCCACATGACTGAATACAGTTAAGCCCCCAACTTAGTGGCTTGCTTTCTCAGTTTCTTTCTTTCTTTCTCTTTTTATCTCTCATGAGCACACTTGCCCTATAGCAAATTTTAAAATAATAATAATAATAAAAATGAATGTTATCCTCGGGGTGAGGGAGCAGGGGTTGGTGTGGTGGTTGGGGTGCTGAATTCCTACATGGTCGCAGCTTGAGTCCCAGACCCTGTGGCTTGAAAATCATGCTGCCGCATGTATGTCCCTGCCAAAAATCCTAGGAGGAGAATAAAGGAGAAGGGCTTGTGGCATGGCCATCCTCCTGAGAGGTTATTTCTCACTTTCCCTTTCTCTGTCTCTCTCTGGTGAGGACATGTGCTTTATGGCAAAAACCTGGGAAAAAAATGTCATCCTGGGGCCAGCCTTGTTGCACAGTGGTTAAGCTCTGTATGTAGGATGTCAGATCCAACTGGCCAACCATGGTTTGAACCTATCTGTAGCATCTTGAAAAACACCAGCTGCATGTGCATGCATACTCTAAATCCTGATGGGGTGGAAAATGGAGGAAAGGGATTGTAGGATGACCACACCCCATTGAGGAGGGTGCTTTCTTTCTCCCCAGCTTCTCTGGGAAGCACATATGTCCTCTAGCAATTATTTAAATTTTTTTAAAAAGTCATTTTGGTTTGGGACCAGCAAATGGTGTTATGGTTACATCACTGGACTCCCACGTAGTTGACCGTGGTTCAAGTCCTGGACCTGGCAGCTTCAAGCTCATGTGCGTGTGTGCCCAAAATCCCGAGAAGGAATTGCAGCATGGCCATCACCCCCCTGCCCCGGGGGGTGGTGTGATTTCTTGCTTCCTGTCTCTCTCTCTCTCAACAAAAATCTCTCTTAAAAAATGATAATAAGAAGCAATTGAGATGGTATAGATTCTAAAGTACTGGAACTATGAGTAGTCTCCCCACCCCCTTTTTTTTTTAAAAAAAAAAAGATCTTCGAGGGACTGGCAGGTGGAATAGAGGTTAAAGTGCTGGACCCCCACATGGCTGACTGTGGTTTAAATCATGAATCTGATAACTTGGTTTCTTGCTTTCCCTCTCTCTCTGTCACTCTCTGGTCAAATTAAAATATGATGATAATAAATAAAGTTAAATAATTCTTCCAAAAAAAAAGTTTTGCTATATGGGGCGTGGAGAGACAGACAAGGGGAAATCACCCCTGCTCCCTCAGGGGATGGCCATGTTGCAATCCCCTCTCCTTCATTCTTCTCTCAGGATTGTGGGTATGCACACAAATGCATCAGCTCAAATTTCAAGCTGCCAGCTCTGGGACTTGAACTGCAGTTGGCCACGTGGGAGTCTAGTGATGTAACCATGTAACCATTACACTGTCTATTGGTCCTGAGAAATCTCTTTTTTTTTTTTTTTTAATTCCCCCCAGGAGGTTTTTGCTATAGGGCGCAGAAAAACAGAGAGACAGAAAGCGAGAAATCACCCCCCAGAGGGAATGGCCACACCACAATCCCTTCTCCTTCATTCTCCTCTCAAGATCTTGGGCACACACACACACACGCTCCTGCATGAGTTTTGAGCCACTGGGTCTGGGACTCGAACTGCTACATGGGAGTCCACCACGTAGGTATTACGCTAACTGCTGGTCCCCACCTTCTTTTTTTTAAAAAAGAGATTTTTTTGCTATAGGGTGTATGCTGAACTGGAGAGACAGAGACAGAAAGCGAGAAATCATCCCCTTCAGCAGGGGTGGTCTCACCACAGTCCCTTCTTCTCTATTCTTCTCTCGGGATCTTGGGCATACATGCACATATACCTGGTGTGAGTTTTAAACCGCCAGGTTTGGGACTCGAACTGTGGTTGACTGCATGGGAGTCAGCTTGTCCAGGCTGAAGTATACATTCAGAAAGGGTTGAGTTCTGGGACTAGCAGGTGGCGTAGTGGCTAAGGTGTTGGACTCCCACATGAGTGACAGCAGTTTGAGTCTCAAACTTGGCAGCTTGAAACTCATGCTGGGCACATGTGTGTGCATGCCCAAAATCCAAAGAGGAAAATGGAGGAGAAGGGATTGTGGTGTGGCCATAGCCGGTGTGTGTGTGTGTGTGTGTGTGTGTGTGTGTGTGTGATTTCTCACTTTCTGTCTCTGTCTCTGTGTCTCCAGTGAACACACATCCTATAGCAAAAATCTCCCTCTCAAAAAAAAAAAAATGCTTGAGCTCAGTTATTAGCTGAGGAAGGGCAAATACACACCACCCAGGGCTGAATATAGATCTTGGGAATTAGGAACTCAACTATGTATAGAAAACAAATAATCCCATTAAGTGGGTTTTTTTGTTTGTTTGTTTGTTTGTTTGTTTTGCCTAAAGGAAGTCAGAATAAGGATGAGAGTACAGGGAAGCTCTCACCTTTGTCAGAATTGAGACCATCTCTTATGGTCTCTGCCTGAATCATTGGGAGTCTTCACAGTTGTTTAGCAGTAGCAACAAATGTTCTTTCAAACCGAAACTCTAAAGTAGTGTACAGAGTGAAGGCAGATGAGCAGTAAGTAAGAGGGCCAGTGCTACCATTTATAATATTTACTTCAAAGCTCCAGTGGCTGGAGATACAGTAAAGCAAGGCAGGATAGTCTTCTCTCATATAACTTCTGAAGGTGTGAGATTCAAAATGTGCGCCTGTTATCATTTAATTGAGACAACAGCCCTTGTCCTTCAGTCTGCTTCTATTTTGGGAGATGATTGAGTAGGCAGTCTGGGTAGGTGGTACAGGCTATGATCCTCTTCCTGCCTTACTGAGGTTTTGAGGTAACTTCAGTAGTTCCTCTGGTTAGCCTAGGATGTCACTTCCCCTTTGTATAAACTTTGTTGTGTGTGTATGCCTCAAATAAACATTGTTTTTTTTTTTTAAAAAAATGACTTATTATTTTTGAAGTTTGCCATAGGGCACATGTGCTCATCAGAGAGAGTCAGGGGGAGAGAGAGAGAGAGCGAGAGAGTGAGCGAGCAAGAGAGAGAGAGAAAGAGAGAAAGAGGAGAAAAAATTGAGAAAGCAAACCACTAGGTCCAGGACTAAAATTGTTGTCAACCATGTGAGAGTCCAGTTGCCTTAACCACTATGCCACTTGCTTGTGCCCCCAATTTCCTTTTTTTAAAGATAATTATTTAATTTTAAAAATTATTATTATGATTTAATTTGCTATAGTTTATGTGCACTCACCAGAGAGAGACAAAGAGAGAAAGAGAAAGAAAGAAGCAGCCAGATCTAAGACTTGAACTATGGTTGGCCATTTTGAGTCTAGCATCTTAACCACCGTGCCACCTGCTGGACTCATATAATATGGCCCTTTGTGACTGACTTCATTCACTTAATACATTTTAAAGGTTTATCCATGTTTGTTTTTGTTTTGCCATAGGACACATGTGCTTGTCAGAGTGAGAGACAGAGGGGAAGTGAGAAATCACCCCCCCAGTGGGGTTGGTC